GGAAGTGGAGTAACGACATCAACATGGGGAAATGACCGAGATGTAAAATACGGTAGGTCGTGATAAGATCCACTCGAACACGGCGATACGACAAGGTGTAGAGCCCAAATTTCATGCACCGGCTTTCATACGATAAGCCTCTCAAGCTGGGGATCAACTTGGGTGTGACGGATAGCTGCATTTTGCCTGCTGCGACATTTATCCTGAACTCTATGAGTCTCTGCAACGATACACTACTTCGGCCATCACTGTTTCCAGTAGCCGCTGCCGTACTTCCTTAAACAGTCGACGCCTTCACGCCGAACTGCCACTCCTGAGCCCTCATGCTACTCCAACGAAGTTTGAAGCTTCCACTGCATTGGACTCTTGTTACATCACATTTTTGGTCCACACGTAATTCCGGCTCAGCTACCTCCACGGGTAACCGAAGCCGTGTCCCATCTGCTTCCTAATCGGAGCCTTTGACACGCCTTGCCCAGTGAGCCCACGACTTAGACATACGCAGCCGTGGTGCGGTAAACTCCCAGTTTTCTAATCGGTCGGAGTCAAACTATATGTAATGTTCAGATGAAGTCTAAGTCCAAACCCAAGAAAACTGCCTCCCAGTCCAAAATGAAATCTGTTCTCGACAAAGTCAACAAGCTGGAAAAGTTGATCAAGTACAGTGCGTTACCACAGCCGCAGATCTCTAGTCGCGCTCTACCACCCTCTCGTGAACGATGTCTTATCATTGTGAACGCGCTAGAATCCACCAGACACCTCTGCAGAAAGGATGGTGGATGACCAAGGGTTCCTTGAACGAATGATTTCATTTTATTCGATGGTGAATTGGGTATAAACATTATCTCTGCCTTCCGCCTGGGCAGGAAGCAAGCGGATCCTTCTAAGGTACGCCCCCTCAAGATCGTATGCCATAGCGAAGAGGAATGCTGACGCATCCTCCGACGAACCCCACGTTTGAAAGGTGAGCCTTTTTACGTCCTGAGAGATTTCTCCGGAAGATCGTGTTAAAATGAAAACAGCCGTTGAAAAGCTCCGGTCCCGCCGAGCGAATGGTGAGACAGACCTCCACATCGTGGATTTTCGTGTAATCCCGAGAACCCGTTGGAGGCCAATACTTCTCAATCCAGGACAGTAGAGCATGAGGACGGACTGCGTGTAATTTTTGCCAGTGTACGCAGTCTGAGAAATAAACTTGATGAGGTACAGATGCTTGCGTCAGATACTCGCCCAGACTTTATGGCCTTCACCGAAACTTGGCTTTTTGCGGACGTCATAGATTCAGAGGTTTCTATCCCCAGATACAGCCTGTCGAGCCGACCGCTTTGGTGGTTGGCCCGGTGGCGGCGTCATACTTTACTGGAAGTCCGAACTCAAGGCTCATTTGGTGGCAGCTACTAGTGACGACGATGGTGATTTTAATGCCCTTTGGTGCCGTATTCATGATGGATGCAGATCCTTCACTATTAGTGTTGTCTACAGAGAGCCATCGGGATCCGGAGTTCAATTGCTCGATTCGATCAGAAAACACGGTGCAGGAAAGGACAATCTTATGATGGAGGATTTTAATGCCTCTAATTTCGATTGGGACTTACTTCTTTGTGGTCATCCACCTGATTCTTTTCACGCTACCTTACTTGAGACTGTTATCGATTGTGCTTTGTTTCAGCACGTCACCATGCCAACCCGCATTGTTGCCGACCAAATGCCAAACATCCTGGACATTGTGCTCACCCCAGCTCAGTCAGATGTCACGAATCTAACAGCAAAAGGGATCATTGTGTCGTTTCATTTTAATGAACACATCGCCTCACGATCCATAGCCAAGGTGGTTGCCGTCGGAACTTTTGACATGCGGATTCACTCCGTCTGAGAACAGCCGCAAGCGCTATGGACTGGAGTATTCCTGATCCCATTCCTCTTGATGATGCGTGGAACCTTGTGGTCTCCAAAATGACGTCCCTGGTTGAGCAGGTCGTTCCTTTCTCCCGTAGAAAGTCCTTCAAGAGGGGTCCACCTTGGATTGACAGTGAATTGAGATCTCTGATGAACGGAAGACGCAAATTGTGGGACCGTTTCAGGCAATCTCAAACAGAGTCCGATTACTCTCCCTACAAGACTATCAGGAATGTTTGTGTCACGTTGTAGCGTCAGAAACGTCAGCAATATGAACTATTATCAGCAGTACACTCCAGAACGACACCAAAAATGCTTTTCTCTTATCTGAAAAGAAGCATCAGGGCTGGCAGTTGCATCACTACCTTGTGTTCCTTTAAGCATCGAAGTTTACTTTACGAAGACGCTGATAAAGCCAGTCTTTTGGCCCAACAGTACGCCTGTCTTCGCGAAAAAAACTCCCGCCTGCGACAGCACTGTGTCCAGTTTTCCTTATCTGTTGGATCAAGTAGACATTAACATCAATTCTGTGGTTAAACTTCTCCTTGATTTAGATCCGCATTCTTCACCCGGCCCGGATGGATTGCACCCCCTGTTTTTTAGGACTGTGGCGCAGTACATCGCCCCTCCTATCTTTCAGGTTTTTCGTCGTTCTTTTGAAGCTAGGCGTCACCCTTCGGCTTGGAAAGTGGGCATTGTCAAACCCATTTACAAAGGAGAGAACAGGCAAGATCCAGCCAGCTATCGTCCGATCTGCTTAACCTCGATATTGTGTAAAGTTATGGAGCGGATCTTGCAGCAGGCTCTTCATCTCTATCTCGAGGAACTGAATCTCTTCTCTTGTGCACAGCATGGTTTTCGAAGGGCACGCTCATGTACCTTGAACTTACTAGTTGCTAAGGAGAAATGAACGAAGTTGATAGATTCCGGTAAACGCCTGTACGTTGTGTTTGTTGATTTCAGCAAAGCTTTCGACAGTGTCCCGCACGAACGACTTTTGCTTAAACTCCGAGGAATCGGTATCGCCGGGAATCTTCTCTCTTGGATCTCTGGTTTCCTTCGCGACCGCACGATGCAGGTGCAAGTAAACGAAACATTTTCCGCCCCTGTTCTCATGACTAGTGGAGTCCCACAGGGTTCTGTCCTCGACCCAGTGCTTTTCAACGTCTTCATCAATGACTTACCGTCCACACTCCAGGCGGATTGTCTAATCTACGCCGACGACCTGAAGCTGTGGATGGAGGCATCCAGTATGGAAGATGCTGACAGGTTACAATCAACACTCGACCTGCTACATGATTGGTCAATTAGGTGGTAGTTGCCAATGAATCGTGAGAAATGTTCGGTTCTTTCAGTTGGTGCGTCTGACCCATTTGGAATCTACCATATTGATGGTTCCTTGCTCAGAATCGCCACTCAGGAGATGGATCTGGGGGTGATACTTTCTCCTGACCTCAAATCTAATGAAGGTACCAAGAAAAGGTTGCCGCGGCCTACAGGATGTTTCACTCTATACCTAGGGCCTTCTCTCGCCTGACCCCGGGGCTCTTCCGACTCCTGTTTACTTCACATGTACGCCCGCTTCTCGAATACGGGCTATCTGCCGCCTACCCTCTTACGAAATTCGAATGTGATATGATTGAGGTTCAACGGCATGGATCCAAATCTGTTCCTGAGCTGCGGGACCTGTCTTATTCTCTCCGACTCAAACAACTGAACCTCTTTTCCCTGGATTACCGTCGTCATCGCGGATACTTGATCTTCACCCGACGTATTCTTAGAGGAGAGTTGGGAAGGGAATCACAGGAATTCTTTCATCTCGACACAGAAAGTTCGACAAGAGGCCACAGTTTGAAACTGTTCAAACTGAGGAGTCATCGAGTGCGATCCAGCCTGGCTTTATCCACTCGCGTTGTGAATGACTGGAACCGCCTTCCGGAGTTCATCGTCGATGCCGAGACCGAGGAACGTTTCAATCATTTATTGGATTTCCATTTTAGTTTACGGGGATCCAGTTGTTTCCAATGCAGCTTCAGTGGTTCTCTGTGGGACCTTGTTCCGCAATGACCCAGGCTATCTCCGCAATGATCGGGAAGTGACAGAGCTGACAAAGGTACTTCCTTCTGCTCTCTATCATCCAATGATCCAATGAAGTGCTGAGGCTGGGGTCCCAAGGGCTATGAACACGTTTGGTTGGATGTACTAGCTGACATGGCGAGGAACCGACCTCTGGCGTTTGTGTTGTGCGTCTCTTTGTCCCTCCCCTCCCCTATAACTTCCCCCTCAAACGATCTCAATTCAATGCAAAATGTGGTTTTGGCATTATGTTACTTTTTTGCTTTTGTGATCTGTACTATTTAGTCGCTTTTCCTTTTTGTATTGCGACACATTGGCTGAGGTGTGTTTTCCACCGTCGGCTAATTTGTATTGATGATGATGATGGCTCCAAGTGCTGCGTTCTGTCCCGCTTGTTTTGTTTAGTCCTCACCTTATCATGTTATCTAAGCCTTGTCATCGGCTCTGATTTTTTGTATCACATTCTATGGTTTGAATCTATGGATCCTTGGTGTATTAGTTTTGGCGTCTAATTCGCGGATTCTGCGTCCCCTCCCTCCTGCCTGGGTTTGCATCTCCCTGCATCCTCCTATCCTGCATTCTTAGGTTTACTGTTTCATGACGGCGTGGCATCAGTACATAGCAATGGTAAACATCTGATACCTATCCTCTATTTTTATCTTTGACCTCAGTCTGATGGCACAACCCACTTCGCAAATCCCTAAGTTGTCATAAGAGCAGTTTCAGTAGGTTGTTTAATCCTACGCATATGACCCTGGAATATGTCCAGCAATGCCCTTTGCGTTTGTTTCGGACCCATGGTATTTCCACAGTTACTTTTCCTAAGGCTATGCAACTGATCTGACAGTCAATTTAAATGTTACGAACTGCCTTGGACGCAATTTCGCTGCATCCCGCAGTTTGGCCAACACATCTATGCAATCCCACTATTCCAAGATCGATTTTTCTCTGATCCTTTTCAGTACTCCGATTCGCAAAGCGCAGTCTACACCTATCATGTTGCTTCATGATTCCTTTTACTTGTTCCAGTTACTGCCTGGTTAAACTCTTGTTTCCGCTTCCAAATCGATTACACTACTGCGGATTGTATTTACCGACGACATGACCGATTCGGGCGAACGTGAAAGTTCTTTTGAAATCGTGGAGGAGGTTAGTCGAACTACAATTTGACCCATTACACTTTGTCCATCACTATACAGCCTTCATACTCGGACATAGTACCTTCCTTGGTACAAAGTAAGTAGAAACGTTAACCTACTTGATGCATTTGGTTCTCTTTATCAACGCGTTGGATCGAATAATACTCCATATCATTTTTACTTTTGCTCTAATCACGCTCATCATCACCATCAATCATACCTTTGTTCTTAAAAGGTTGGTGTGTCACTATGAAAGGCTTCGCTCGGTGACCGAAAAGATTGTACGCCTGGCTTGCAATCATAAGGTCACCAGTTCGAATCCACGTAGGGGCGGGCGTCCTCGCGGTATACTCAGCCCATGCGCGATTGGTGGTGGTCGCGTGGCAGCAAAGCGTCGGTACAAAAAGTGAAAAAGGCATCAGCAATACGCCGGTACGTAGTACCGACGCTTCGCTGCCACGCAACCACCACCGGCCGCACGCGGGCTAAGGATACTGCGAGGGTCGCCATGTCCCTACGCGGGCTCGAACTCGCGCCGTCATATTACAAGACAAGCTCGTTACCTTTAGGCTACGGCCAGCGTCGGTACAGTGTTCCGGTGTACTACTGGTAACTGACTCGCGAGCGTTTTGTGCTCTCCGTTCGCATAAAGCAAAGCCTTCAATAAACTTCGAGTCAGTTGGTTTCTAATTACTTTATTTACGTCAATTCGCAGGATCTGTTATTCGTAAACCACTTCAGACCTATCGTTCTCGTGATCTTTTTTAAGTTGGCGTTACTCCAACTTTCTTGTTTTCTAATTCACGTTATGCATAGATCAAGGCCTTGGAATAGATACCTGTTCTCCATCACTGACGACCATAACCCTACTGCACGCTATTTTACAGAGATAAGGAGAAAGTCCCGTGCGCATTCAGCAGTCGGCGGTTGGACGACACTATGTACTATCTGCGTGATAAACCCTGATCATTTCCTTTCATTATTGTCACACAGTGTCTTATATGTTGTGTCGTCTCTGATCTGGTGTCTGTACATTATATCTCATCAACTTGTAATAGATGCACAGGATACTAAGAACGGGAGAATGACAGCAGATGGCCTTAAAGCAGTAAACGTGACATGTTGCCTGGTAACATAGTTGCATTGAGCAAGCACCACTTGTGAACCGCTGCGAAGCTGCCGCTTCCGAGCCGTTGCTTATTTATTCTTGGAGCAAGAGTGGCCATCCATTTCGCTTCATGTCTGCATAACTTGGTATTGTTGCAAACGTTGTGTATAAGACTGTTCGCCGGTTGTATGACAGCAAACAAGTACAATTTAAAAACCACCGCACCATTTCTGCTCAAATATAAGTCTCAAATCGAATTTGGGGAGAACTAACCTTGTGCATAGGTTTCGGCTTTGGTCGCTTCCACCATTGCACTCCACGGCCGGTTTAGCCCTTGCTTGCATTCAATAAGTAGTCATAATCTTTAACAGAAATATAGTCGAGTAGCGCAGTTTCACCACGTGTACTTTCTGTTTCCCGGCAATCAAACTAGGCCCATGCGCATATATATATATATATATATATATATATATATATATATTCAACACGGCCAATAGTACAATTGGTATAGTGCCACAACGTATGGAAAATACAATAAACATACGAAGATAGAGCGGAAAAACCGATGTTCATGGGAATAGTGAGTCACAATAAGTCCGCCATTATGCACAATTTCTTGCCATATCCGCGAACGTTTCCAGCCATGTGTTCCGAATGCTTCACACTCTAGCCCGGACGTCGAGATCGCCCGACCACTTCTAACTTTGACGTTAGCTCCTTCATGCTCCTGGCCCAAGCCATATGTTGGCCACATTGCTTTCGCTTCCAGCCGACTTCTGCATGCGCGAAGAGGGCACGGCAAGGTAAGCAATGAGTAGGTATGCGAAGAACATGCCCAAACCACAGGTCTGCGCAGAGGAATTATACTGCTCAGTGGCCGGCAAAGTCTGCCTGATCTGAAAATCCTTCGTCGAATATCTTCATTCCTAGTGTGATGTTGCCTTCGTACACCAGCAATGCCCCGAAAGCAGCGGTGACCAAAAGCAGACAGCCTCTCAACATCCTTTGCGCGAACAGGCCAAGTCTCGCAGCCATAGAGTAGAACCGCTCTCACTGTAGTCTTATAAACTCGGCCTTTCAGAGCTATACTCAGATCACCTCGGCGCCAGAGATGGCGGATATTGGCAGAAGCAACCCGAGCCTTGGAGAGGCACAAAGAGACATCATCCGTTAAACCATTAGCGCTGAGGCAGCTTCCGACGTAAACGAACTTGTCCACCATATCCAGTGAATGACCTAGACGGGTAAGGTCAGGAGCAGCGCCTGGCCAGTCCTGCAGGAAAACCTTGCATTTCGACGGTACGAAGATCATTCCAAACTGGGAGACAGACATCTCCAATCTACACAGAACGTTTTAGGCGGCATGTGAAGAAGCGCAGATTACGGCGATATCGTCTGCATATTCCAAATCCCGAAGTCGGTCCCTCGGAAGCAGCTCGACGCCGCTGAGTTCACAGTTTTCCAGAGCGCTCTCCAAGATTTCGTCTATAGCAAAATTGAACAAGAATGGGATGCTGGACAACCCTGTCTTACGCCACTGGTGATACCAAAGGGGGTCGAATGTCCGCCGAACACCCGTACTCGTCCCGAGGTTTGAGAGTAGAAGTTGAAGTAAGGTGACACTTCTCGGGCACTCCCCTTCTCAGTAGACAACTCCCTGTAGCACAGGGCGTCCACCCACGGACGTGTCACAACGGTGCTCAGTGTAACCCTCACACCGAGATGATCAGAGACTCCGGCAGCTGACTCTCCAGCTGAGCGCGGTGTGCCAGCAAAACTCGTATACGGTGAAGTCAGTCGTAGTATCGTGCTAATCTTGTAAACGGGTCTCATTGGAGCGGCAGATACTATAGACAGTAGTCTCTAGAGTGCGTGCATGGGCTGTCTATGATCCGATCTGCATTAGCGTCTGAACATTAACGGTAGCCGGTTTGAATTGGAAACGAGGCGCTGAAAAGCTTTTCCACTGCGATTGGGCGGCTTTCCCTCGGATCTAAGCTCATACTGCATGAGACGAGAGATCTCACCCGTAGTGGAATGATGTGGGCTCGGAAAAGTGGGGGCAACCAAGGATAGAGGATTGAACGAATGCAGAATGAAGGAAGTGTACGGTTACACAGTTTGGCAAGTTTGGTCACCAGCGCCTCCACTGAGGTCAACATTGCCAGACAGCATAGAGAGCGAGTAGAGAATCGTTGAACTATTAGTCCATAGATCATAAGGGCCCAACCCCCAAGACAGCGGCGCAATTAACATTGATCGCGAACCATTGGAACCGGTTACCAGAGTGAAGGCAGTGTGGCTATCGTGTAGAAACAAACTACTCGGCACCCAAACTGCCCAAGTATAGTAGCACGTAGGCCAGAAAAGATCTCCTGAACCACCGAACTCTCCGCCATGTACTAAGGCCGTCCACGGTCAGGTAGCTCATACGCCTAGTGTTCGAAGTACACCTAGAAGCCGGTGGTTATCGAGGTTATTCATCCGCCCTCCGTTGGACACTCGCTTCTGGCCGCAGAATTTAGTGGTCAGTGACCTTAGGGCCAATAACAATGGTTTTGACACAGCGCCATCCGAGGTCTTGTGGTATGTCGCAACAAGACTGGACCATAACGTGGTGCGACAGTTTGCGTACCTCCTTGAGCCATTGAGCTATACTGGGTGATGCCTCCAGGCACCTTGAGCGTTACTGCTACCAGGTTGGTCAATGATGAGAGATCAGACAAACTCAGTCTCCTGGTCCTCCAGGTTGGGGGTTTGAAATGGGATGGCGTCCATTTCTGTAAAACTAAATCATTGCCACCCCGCTGCCTTGCGGACAATCTTTTGTGCCAAAGGCTTTGGATGAGGACCCTAATCGTCCTCCTGTCTAGGTCTGGGCGCCCTGGCAGTATCTCAGCCCACATACAACCATGACATTTTCTTCAAACATAAACTTCATCCTGCATCGGCCGTCGTGCAGATTATCAAGAGTCGCTTTATCTGCTGCATACAGCAGAGCGGATAAGCGAAAACATGCTACTGCTGGCGCCTCCCTTCTTTTCCACCTTTTTCTCTTACTCCCATCCCGACCCCCATTACTAACCTTCCTAATACAATTCCCAGCTTAATTGACAGCAACCGAAGTGCCACTGGAGTAGAATCATCTGTAGCCACCATCCCACAGCACCTATTGAACGCCTATCGGCAAAAGTCCCTTATAAGGCCACGCTATCCCGTTTCCATGGCGACATTCGACGTTCGCACTTTAAGACAAACAGGTCAACAGGCTGCACTCGCACGCACCTTGGACACACTGGGTATTGATGTGTGTTGTGTGTCCGAAACTAGGATCAATGACCCTAACGGGGTTGTTGAATTAACTGCACCCGGCTTCTCCTCTCGTTATTGGTTGCACGCATCCGGAGACGCCGATGCAGCACTCATGGGTCAAGTTGGTGTAGGTATCATTCTAAGCTCTAAGGCTGAGCCATCGTTGGTTGATTGGATTCCGGTGAACAGCCGTTTATATGCAGCCCGTTTGACGACATCAGCTAAGGTGGATTCACGAAGTAGTGTAAAACGCTTTTTGTTTGTGATTTCCGTTTATGCTCCCACCGACTGCAGTTCTAATGCTGTCAAGGACACATTCTATCACGAACTGAAGCGCTACTACGCAGTGCTACTAGTTCAGATATTATAGTACTTGCAGGGGATATGAACGCACAAGTAGGGCGTCTAAGCTCTTCAGAAGCTCAGTTGGGTGGTAATTGTGGGCTTAACTCCGAACGGACTGACAACGGTGAGCGTCTGCTGCAACTGTGTGCGGAGCACCAGTTGTTTCTTAGTAGCACTGCTTTTAGACACAGTGGGCGCCGAACTGCTACTTGGCGTCCTCCTGTAGCTGGCCAGCGATGGACCCAAATTGACCACATAGCCATAAGTTATAGATGGCGTGGTTCCATCCTGGATTGCCGCTCGTACTGGAGTACCTGCGTCGACTCTGATCA